ATGGTCTGGCACTGTTACCTGGTCACATTTTAGATCCAATTCCAAGTTAACAAAATACCCTAGTTTATTATTCCTGTGTGAAACACATTTACCTATTATATCCCCCATGGCATGATGGTGGCATACACCTTTCACTGTGTTTGTTTACAGTATCAATAACACAGCTGTTCTCAGTGTGACAATCAGGTTTTCAGTTTTCCAAGGAAATCTTTCAAATGTATATTCATAAAATAATTATAAATGTCATTGCAAACATTGCTCTTTGGCACTGTTTGTGCTGGTTTGTGGTTCAAGTAGAGTTCACAGTTTCTCCTGCCGTCCTCCGTCCTCACAGGACGTGTTTGAGATGCGTTTTGCCAAAATGCCTGATGAGCCTGAGGAGCCCGCCCCTGTTCCCACCCCATCATCGGCCCTCCACCCTGCCCCCTCCACTCGACAAGCCCTGCCTCCTTCTGCTGTCTCAGAAGACGAAAGCTCCAGTTCCTCCGAATCGGAGTCCTCCGGAGGAGACTCAGAACAAGAAAGGAAACAGCGATTGGCTGAGTTACAGGAACAGGTTAGAGGATGGAAAATGAAGGGGGAGGGAGGCTTATGAGACACGACAGGTGGGTGGGCCACGCAGAACAGCTTTACCGAACGTGGGTGAATGCTGAAACACGGAGAAACACATATGCACGCTGTCTTTCTTTTCATCTCTTAAGACTACAACTGTGTGTGTTTGTATCCTCTAGCTAAAAGCTGTCCATGAACAGTTAGCAGCACTCTCCCAGCCCCAAGCCAGCAAGCCCAAGAAGAAAGAGAGGGAGAGGGAGAAGGAGAAGGAGAAGGAAAAGGAAAAGGAAAAGGAGAAGAAGGAGAAGGAGAAAGAGAAGAAGAAAGAAAAGCACAAGAAGAAGATGGGAGCAGAGGAACTTGTGGAGACCCCTCCTGCTATGGTGCTTCAAACTTCTAAGAAAAACAAGAGCAGCAAGGAGCTAATCATTGCAAAGAAGGACAGGAAAAAGCCTGGGTAGGTTTTTACAGAATTGATTAGAGAAGTGATGTTATAGCTGCGTTAACTGGAGCTAACCTAATCATTTGTCAATCACAGTAAGAAAGAAGGAGTTAAAAATAGCCGCCCAGCTGTGCCACCTCAGCCTGGGCCAACCCCTCTGGTCCCCTCGGCCTCTCTTGAAGCAGAGGATGACATGGGTATGTATGTGAGAGATATGTTGAGCTTGATTTTTAAATGTTTTTTTATTTTAAGGAGTCTTTAACAGTGGCCATGTATCAACTTGCTGTCATGCTTCCCTCCCTAGATGTATTTGGGGGTGGGTCCACTGACAGGGGCAAGCCGATGTCGTACGAGGAGAAGCGCCAGCTGAGCCTGGACATCAACAAGTTGCCCGGGGACAAACTGGGCCGCGTCGTGCATATAATTCAAACGCGCGAGCCTTCGCTGAAGAACTCCAATCCAGATGAGATCGAGATTGACTTTGAGACTCTGAAGCCCTCCACGCTGAGAGAGTTGGAGAAATACGTCTCCAGCTGCCTCAAGAAGAAGAAAAAGCCGTCAGGTAAGCTGTTTGTCTGTGTGATCCACACACTTGATGTCATAGTACTGCTGCAGGAATGTCTTGTTCAACCACTCATAATTAAATGCTGCGTAAAAGACTAGTCACTCCTGTCTAACAGCTCCTAGACAAAACAAGAAGGGATCACTACACGTTTGCCCAACCCAACGGTTAAATCCTGATTTTTCCCAATGTTGTTCTTCAAACTGGCTAAATGTCTTGTCTCAGTCTATCAGTTTGTAAATGTTATTGGTATGTTTTGTTGCAGTAGAGAAGTCTCTGGAAACAACTGTGACAAAGATGAAGACAGGATCCTCATCTTCAGATAGCAGCGACTCCTCTGATAGTGAAGACTCTGAGAATGGTAATGTATACCCACAACAGTTGTCAGCATATCTTATTTTGACAAACAGTAGCTGTATTTCTTCCTCATGTCAGCTTTTCTTGTGTTTCCTTCTTATATTTCATATACTGTCTGTCTCCAGGGCTGGTTCCCAAACAGCAGAAGAAGACCTCATCTAACAAAGACACCAAGAGACCGCACCAGTCCCTCAGTAGCGTAGCGGGCCCAGTCGCTCCTCAGCCTCAGATTCAGCCTCAGATTCAGCCTCAAGTGGTCCAGTCCAAACCACCATTTGTACCCCCTCCCCCTGTCCACGTCTCTGTCCAGTCTCTGGACTCCTCCCAGCTTTTGAGCTCTGGATTTGATCCTCTGGCTCAGTTCATGAACCCTCACTTGACACAGTCGAACACAGAGCCCAATCCAACCATTACTACTGCCGGTGCCCCCATTGTGTCTGGTCTCCTCAATGCAAACGCACCCACTGGACAGACGCCCACTGAGACGCACCCTTTCCTAAACCAACATCCCATCCTACCTTCACCAGGTACATTTCAGTCAAACTTTGCACAGCTTGCATCTCTGTAGTTCATTTTAGAAATTGCCATGAATGTGACAATATTGATATATTATAGGCCTGCAAGTAATGATTATTTTCATTATCAGTTTATCTTTTGACTATTTTTCTGTTTTGTCCCTAAAAACATGTTTTCCCGCGAGGTAGTTAGCTTGTTTCATCCAAAACCGAATGATAGCAAAGTTTTATCTTAAACTATTTCCAATTTTCAGCAGATAAAAATCCTCACATCTGAGAACCTAGGAGAGGCAAATGTTTTGCACTTTATGCTTGATAAATTACTTCAAGAGCTGTGATCATCAGAATTGTAGTACATTAATTCTACTATAAGGGATTTTTAACTAGTTATGAAACAGTTTAAATTTCACACTGATGCCTCCTATATGATCTACATAGGCAAACACCACGTCAGCGAGAAGATTTCAATTAAACAAGGTTGTGGAAACACTCCTGCTTTTGAGGCCGCCAGAATCAACACAAAATGAAACTTCTTTATTGCTGCTTTAAGTTTTTGTCAACCGATTAATCATCTCTCTTTTGAGCGTCTTTTCAATTGTACAAACCTGTCAACCCAGCATTCATTTTCTGGATTTTGTTTTCAGGACTGTAGTTCAGCTGTCGACCATGTCTGTTTTTCATTTTTACTTAAATTTTTTGTCTAGAAAGTGAAAACAACTATATTAACTATATTTTATTCTGTTCTTTTCTAACTTTCCCCATCCCTCTCTTCTTGTTTTGTTTGCAGCGATCCACAATGCTCTTCCCCAGCAACCATCACGACCTAGCAACAGAGCAGCACCACTTCCTCCAAAAATCACACAGCCTCCCCCGTCCTCACTCCCCTCCCTGCCTCCAGCCTCCTCGCCTCAGCTTCAGCCCTCGCTTCCACTAACTCTCCCCCAACCTGTCTCCCGCCCACGCGTACCTTCACCTCCATCGCACGGCATTTTGGGTACTCTCTCAGCGCAACCCCCTCAAGCCCTCCTGGAGGACGACGAAGAGCCGACACCTACCAGTTCCGAAATCAATTCCCTCAGTCAAGTTCATAGCTTCTTGCAGTCGCTCCAGGTTCGACCCACCACACAGCCGCAGCCGCTACACGCGCATACACATTCGCCTGCGCAGGTCGCCTCTCAACTGGTGCCCTCGATGCATACGCAGGCTGTGACTACGCCCACCCCTCCCCTGACCCAGAGACACAGCTCAGGCCACGCACATATGCGGCAGCCGTTCCCACAAACGCACACGTCGGTGTCACAGCAGCAGAAGGGGGTGGCCCTGCAGCAGAAAGTACAACAGATGCAACAACATCAACAACAGCCATCACCACGCAGCAAAGCAGAGCCCTTCTCAGCAGGTACAGCTACATACTCAAGGCAGTGGTTACCCAAACTCTGCATCTGGACACATTCCTAAACAGGAATACGTGTTATTAATGAATAGGTGCTGTTGGGCGTTGTAAGTCAAGTAAATAGTACCGCAATTGCTTAAAAACCAAACCACCATTAAAAGCATGAAACAGCAAGTAGAACTGCTCTCATTAAATATTAATTAAATTAAAACACTTCAAGATACTTTGCAGTGGTAATTGAAATTACCTCAAAATAAAAGAACTATGCTTAGTGTGATTATTTTCATTTACAAAATGTACCCTTAGGCTTGGGAACCAGTAAAGTAGACATAACCATATTGTAGGTGTCACTGCACATTTAGCTAAATATGGTGTTTGATTAGATGATTCCAGATGAGTATTTGCAATATTTCTTCTGTTTTTCTAGGTTGCATGCGTGAGAGTCCTTCTCCCCTGATGATGCATTCTCCTCAGATGCCTCAGTTCCATACAATGGGACAGCAGTCACCGTCACAGACCAAGAAACATGTGAGTGATCCACCTACTTCTTTATGCTTGGTATGTGTGTTGACTGTATGTGCCTAAACAAAACTCTGATGTGCTTTATGAACATAACTGTATCTTGAGCCAGGTAAAGGTTAGAGACACACAAATGTTAAAAGGAAAAGTCACCAATTTTAATGCTGAAAACATTTGACAAAACTGTCATTTTAATTAAGTGTTTGATTCTTGATAACAGACTCTGTATATAAATATAATATGTGTCTGCCTGTAGGAGCAGAGGTCCAACCTGGTGGGGGTCAAAGAAGAGAAGCCTTCCCAGTCCCCAGTTCTGCCGCCCTCACCCTTCAGCCCTGCCATGCGTCAAGACTCACATAAACCTGACATCAAACACAGTGAGTACAAGAGTAAGTTGTATCCTTTTTATCTTTCTATCTTGAGTAGTAAAAATAAATTGACTAAATTTGTCAACTTTATGCAAGTATCACTGCATATGTGTAGTTAATCCCCATTTATGTTTCCCTAGGATTAGATCTGAAGTCACTGGATGGTTCTCGGCCCATTTCCCGCCTCCCAGACTCCCCAGCACCCCCCTGCTCTCAGCAAGACAACAAAATAAAGCAAGAGCCCAAAACTCCTATTGCTCCTAAGAAGACACAGGTGTGTATGGGTCAGAGATGAGAAGATAATGTCTTCAGCCACATTACAGCTACACTACGCCTTCAGGCTGTTTTCTCTCCTTCCATTTAACCTGCCATTTTCTACCCGCTTCTCTTTGTCTTCTCCCAGGATGTGAAGTTAAAGAACATGGGTTCTTGGGCCAGCCTGGCTCAGAGGTCCCAGTCCACACCGGCCTCCTCCGTGCGCTCCTCCAGCGACAGCTTCGAACAGTTCAGACGGGCCGCCAGGGAGAAGGAGGAGAGAGAGAGACAGCTGAAAGCACAGGCCGAACAGGCCAGGAGAGAGCAAGAAAAACTACGGTAGGTTGGAGGAAAATGGAGAAATGTGTATAATGTGGAAAGCAGAAGCCAGCAGAAGCCAGCAGCATGAGCAACTATATCAGAGGGAAATAATCATAGTAGATTTATTACCATCACATATTTTCTTGTCTTTCATGAATTCAAGAGATTTTTCTCAGAAAATGAATATCAGCTGATGATATTCTTACTTACATTTAATATATTGTAATATTTATTTGTTTCGTAGCCGTGACGACGAGGACACCATTGAGCAGGCTCGTCGAGCGCACGAAGATGCCCGCCGTCGCCAGGAGCAACAGTCACCGCTTGCTCCAACACCACCGGCTTCCACCCCGCCCACTCACTCCCCACAGGCCCC